TCTACACGTTTAATTTTCACTTTATCTGAGGACAAACATCTTCGGAGCAGAGAACTAATCTGATGTTTGACGGAAACATGTTCATTGGTCTGTCGCTCACAAAAAGCTAGATATCTGAGCTCCACAGCATCTACACACCTAGTCCTAAGGTTCTTTGATGAGCCATGGATACCTGCAGCTCCTCCAGAGCTCTGCCAGCGGCTGTGCACAGCAATGCGTCTGTATAGGATCAGCTTCACTCTCCTTATCTTCAGATTAAACAGCCTGGGAAGCTGTTTTAAACCCAAACTTCTCCAATAAAGTTGTCTGGAGACCTTCTGAGGTCTCCACAGGATGGATGGAGTCGATATCCAGAGCTGGACTACCTACTAATCAGATGCTAACTTCATTGTATATGATTGTACTTAAGGGGCGGGATGTAAAGGCACTCTACACTATTAATATTTCTATTTTTACAAAATTTAAAAACCAAGAACTCTTTTTATTCTCCCTTTTATGCTCCATTGTGTCAGTCGACCATATAAAATATCTCTAAGCTTGAAGCTGAAAGTCCTAAACTGTGAAAAAGAAGAGAGAAGGCAGAGTAAACATCTGTTAAAGGGATGCCTCCATAAACCTGAGATGCTTCCATGCATGAAGCTCCCAGATCCTCCTTAGGTCAGGGAGGGAGGAGGCGACACACGTGGCCTGCAGCTCCAAAGGAGGGCCTGTCATTTCCCTGCCTGTGAACGCCATCATCATGCAGCAAACCAGCACTTACTGCTGCAAAACATCATGTTTCTTTGGCTTATTATAGAGCTGAAGAAAAACACCAACTTCCTGCTATGAAACACTTTTCTTTGTCGGGGTTTGATTTTGTTTTGCTGGTTTATTTAATCAGAAAAGAAGCTGCAAAATTCTGTAAACATTTGAAATGTAAGTTTTCCTCATTTCTCCAGCTGCTTTTTTACCCTGTTTCCTCCCCTGCTCCTCCTTGTCCTCCAGCGTGGAACGATGCCGCTCTTTCTTCCTCTTCCTCTTCTCTCTGGTGCCTTTCTCTGGGGGCTCATCAGGTTGTTCGGGAGGGGCTTCTGTTGCTGAGGGCTCTGGGGACCAGAGGCAGAGATAAAAACAGGGGTGGGGTCACAGTAAGATTAGCTAAAGCTGCTTGCAGGTCAGAATATGAAAGGAAAAAGTGAAAAAAGGCTTTACTTTGCTGTTATTAAATAAACAATCTATCTTAGATAAGCAGCAGTTACGGCCTATTTACCCACAGAAAAAACAAACATTCTCTGTTTTATCTTTTGAATCTTTTTTCTGCTACTTGCTGCAGTTTTTACCAAACGTCTAACAGATCACATCCACTGATGTCAGCCCAAACTGGAAAAGAAACGTTGGTTACAAACCCGACTTTGTAACCCAGCTGATTGTTGATTTTTTAACCTAAAGGTTTTTTAAAGTGTTGATTTTTAAAGGAATATAAATGTAGCCGTT